CCCCAAAACCCCAAAACCCCAAAACCCCACAGGAGTAATTGCATGGTTATGTTTAAGTTTGATAAATTGAAAAATAAATTTGTAATTAAAATAAGAAAATGAATTCGTTCGATAATTTTAGACCCGCTTCTGGGAATCAGCATCAAAGACCAAGAACTGCTTCGGAGAGTGGCAGAGTGGGCGGATCCCTTGGAAAGTATGCAATACACCATCTCTTGCATTGATTAACACTGTTACTTTTAGATTCTTTACTTAGCAAACCTAAGGAGTGCTAGACGAGAAAACCGTTAGCAGTATTTGGAAGGGTTTCGGCTCATACATTGCCAAGCAACTCAGAAATGGCAAAGGTATCTTCGTCCCTAAGTTCGGAAACTTCACGTTCTCTGCTACTCAAGTAGACTTAGCTGTAAATTTATAATTCAAATAATGGAGTCAATAATATCTGTTTTAATTAGGGAACAACAAATCCTGGTGAGAGAGACAAATAAATCAGAGACCCAGTGTTCATAGTTGGCAAGGATTTCGTAAGCGCAGTTCCTCTTAGAGCTGGAGTTTCTCATAACAAAGGAGCATAGATTAGACCCTATGACATCAAAGGAGCAAGTGGCATTATCCCTAAGGTAAAGGTGAACTACACCGAGGTAGCAGTACTCTGTGGGTAAAATAAGGACATATGTAAAAATGGATGCGAATAAGTGTTCAGATTCCTATCTGATAAAGTTAGAAAAGGTGAGTCAGTGGCTATGGAGCTTCCATTCGTTGGTCATTTTATTGTGAGAGGAGGCATTGCAGCGATTGCTTTTATAGATGATCTATAAGAGGAGACAAGGGGTGTGACTGCTAAGAGCCATTTCGTGAATAAGTTATTTGCATCAAGCGTCAATCAACTAAATCTAAAGATTAATGATTAGTCTAAGTAGAGAGACAACCCAAGTGCAGGGCTTGGTGGTGCTATGCGCATTACTGGAGAAGCTGAAAACTGGCTTAGGAATAATTTGAATATTAGTGTGCCTGATTTGCTGTTAAGGTCGAGTGACAGCAGAGACAATATCAGAGTGCAAAGTGCAAACCCAGTGAGAGTTTTAAACAGATATGGATCAGTGAGAGCCGAGGATTTGAGATAGAAGTCATGGGCAATTCAAAACAATACTGCTTAAGGCTTGACTGAGCAGAATAAGCAGCAATTCGATAGAATCAGTGAGGCCAAGTCAGGTCCATTCTCAAAAAGACCAATGAGTGCCGTAACTAGAATGACCACAACATCTCGAGTATCAAATGTGCCAGACATAGGCAGAATGAAGTTGATGCTAATTGCAAATGATGTTCATAAAAATAGATAGTCAATTATGGATTGCCACACTTCTAATAGGGGCAATTTAAGAGATATGCTAAGCAGCTCTGAGATACAAAATATTATGAAGAGAATTGGAATTTATGTTGAGATTGGCCATGTTAAAGCATTGCTTAAAGAACTTGGCTTTAACTGGAATGGAAAATCGTGTTCATTAGTTACTCTTTTCTAAAATGTGCAATAATTTCTTTATGGCAGAACCTAAGCAGAAGATATAACAGGGTATTAATCGTCATCTCTGGCTAGTCCTAAGCAGCATCAATACTAATCAGAAAAAAATCTTCACACAAGTAGAAAGTAAACAAATTTAAAAGAGGCTAGAATTGAGGATCTAATGTAATCAATCAAGGATTTGTTCTACTCAACTGGAAGAACCATTTATGAGATTTATTAAGAGGCAAGACTTGGCTAAACCATCGACCTAGGAGGTTTTAAGAAGGCTATATAGGAATACTCTAGGGGATAAGTTTCTGAAAGTGATATCGATATCGTGTTTAATCACGTTTCTCGAGGCAGCGACATAATAAGCTACTAGGAGTTTGACAAGGCTTTCAAGTGGGCATTGCCAGCAGGTGGTGATTGGGAGACTAAGTGCTTCAGAAATATAAGAGAATGGATGTTTTAGAATGGGCTTTCTTCTGAGATCGCATTCGAGCTCCTCCTAAAAAAAGTTGACAGAATTCTGTAGAAGAAATTGTCAAGAAGTGAATTCCATAGAGCCATAAGTTCCCTTAATTTCAGATTCACTGCTCCAGAGATCGACGGTCTATTTAGACTACTCGATATTAATCAAGATGGAGACCTAGATGTTGAGGAATGGAAGAGTAGAATTTATGAGGACTCTCTCAACCCCTTGCAGATGCTAAGAGAAGTGATTCAATAAAACAGGATTACTTCAGATGACTTGCTATTTAAAATGAAACTAAGACATTGGGATGAGCCACTTGACTTCCCCAAATTGTGTGAGGCCTTGAGAAGATTAGATGCTACTCTAAGTGAACCCTAAATCAGACATATGGCAAAAACTCTTAAGAATAAGGAGAATAAAGTAGAGGTTCAAACTCTACTTAGAAATCTTTGTGGATAGGAACATGAAACTGTAGACTTTAGAAATAAGATATTCAGACAGATTTATGCTGAAATTCACCCTCATAAGGAAGATAAGTTGATTTAATTGCTTGAGGATGCAGATCCACTAAATGACGGTAGAGTTGAACCACAGGGTCTCAAGGCTGTTTTAAAGAAACTCTTGACTACTGTCGATGAGGAATCAATTGATAGATTCATAAGATTTTTAGACAAAGAGCCTTCAGGAAAAGTTAAATACATGGAATTCATGCAAAGAATGGGTGAAGTTTCAAACAGAGATCACAATCCATTTAAATCAGTGGTTTAAAGAGTGGCTTACTTCATAGAATCAAACTAACAAAGCATTAACTCAATCTTAAGAAGACTCATGGCTAAGTGTTCACCAGATGAATTGCTAGAGGATTAAGTAGCAGTACCTGTAGGTGTTTTTGCCCAGTTCCTTAAGAATAAAATTGATAAAAAGCGATCAAGTGGAGAACTTAGGCAATATGCTCACTACCTGGATGTTGATAAGGACGGCTATGTCTCAGATATTGACCTTCAAACTTGCCTCAATAATTTGCACTCGAATACTTTCTTCAAAAACAGTGGAGAGGCCTTGGCATAATCAGGTTTCTCATCTCAGAAGAAATTCTTCCCAACAAAAGAAAAGCTGGGCCCCGATAGAGCATGTGAAGTAGCTAAATAAATTAGATAGGCTTTGATAGACAAGAAAATCGCTTATAGAGAAGCATTTAATAGATTTGATGACAATCATGATGGCTTACTCTCCTTAGTTGAATTTTCAAACGGAATCGATAAAATATTGACTTTAAGTGTCCCAATAAAGGAAAAGGTTTTCGCTTTAATGGACAAAAACGAGATAGGTCTCGTAGATTATCCTAATTTCTTGGAGGTAATCAATCTCTAGCCAGTATTAAAATCTAGTAGAGGTCCTTTCAAAGACAACTTTGACTGGGAGAACGGCATTATTGAACAGATTAAGCAATGGATCAGCAAGGACAAGATTACTATTGATGAGGCTTTCAAAAGCTTTGACAAAGATTTTGATGGCTTTATTAATAAGGCCGACCTGAGATGGGGACTCATTAATATCCTTATGGTTAAGGAAGAAGATATACTAACCACTAAACTAGATAGACTTTTTAGACTTATAGACTTCTATAAGACTGGAAATATTTAACCCTCTGACTTCCAAAGACTAATGAATGATGAAAATCCATATTCATCAAGCGGCCAAAGAGGTCTCACCAGCACTGATAACTTTAGAAGGTCCTTTGGAGGATAATTCGCTCAGACTAGCACCTTCGATTGGAAAGTGTCATCAATCTAATAAATAGGATTGATATTATCAAAGAAATTTGGCACAGTCAAGGATAGTTTTGAAGCAGCTTCTGAAAAGTTCTAAAAAGTTACCTTTGAGCAGTTCAAGCGTTTCGTAGAACAACACTAGGCTTTGGCTGGCTTCAATATGACTCTCCCACTTACTCAAAAGCTGTTCGCAGAATTAGATCCTCACAAGAAGGGATACCTTACAGAAAGTGACTGGGTTAATGCATTTTCAGCCTTCAACTATGATGACTAAATTTTGATTGAGTTGAAAAACTCTATTTAGTGTTCATTCTCAGACTGCTCTTCAGCTTTTGATTTCTTCCTAACCTTCAAGCCACAAAGCGATGCTAAGAGCAAGCATGTCAACTAGACTGACTTTGAAAAAGCAGTTGATTCTTTAACTGGCAACAGGTTTAAGAAATAAGATATATACAAACTTTGGCTAAAGCTTACGGAAAATGGCAGAACTCAAGCTATGGATAAGTATCACTTTAGATCAGTCTTTGATAACATGAGATACACTGGAAACTCTACTGTGAGAAATGTTAAAACTGCTCCACCAGGCGCAAGAACTACAATTGTATCTCAAAGCTCTTCAAGCTCTACTTGGGAATTCGATATCCTTGAAAAACTAAGACAAATAATGAGATCTTCAAGCTAAAGCATTAGTGAGATCTTTAGAGAATTCGATACAGATGGAAATGGTTCTATATCAGAGGTAGAGTTTAGAAATGCAATTAGAAAACTAAACCTAGGATTAACATCAAGAGAGATCGATAAGCTAATGTTGAGAATAGACAGTAACTCCGACGGCAAGATTGACTACAATGAATTTATTGCCAAATTCAAATAAAGCAATCTAGATGATAGACTTAAAGAGAGAGCCAAAGACAAAATGGGTAGACTCAAGGAGATGATGATGCTGCATATGACATCACCAAATGATGGTTTCAGATTTGTAAGTACCATATACCTTTAATTTTTTAATCATAGTTCGATGAAAGCAAACTTGGCAAGCTGACTTATTAAGAATTTGGAAAGCTTGTGATCAAGTTATATGAATTGGCAGGAGAGAAAGCCCCAGCCTATCCAGTCATCAAGGATCTATTTGACACCATCGATATCAGAAAAGATGGCATTCTTGACATCAATGAATGGCAATAGACCTTCGGCAACGTTATTGAAGGAAGCAATAAATTGACAATAAAGCCTACTCCTCTCACACAGTGGGAAAACAGCAGAGAATTCGGTCTCATTGGATAACTGATTGCTAAGAACAGGAAGCTGCTAAGAAATGAATTTGAGAAGGTCACTAAGGGATAAGGCACCGTCGTCAACTTCGACCTTGGCAAACAAGCCCTAGCTGGTCTGCTCCAAAGAAACTACAGTGGAATCGGAGATGAAAAGATAAAATGTATTTTAAAGGTTGGGGAAGTGCAAGGAGCAAATAGTGATGGCATCGGAAATCAATACGACTACGTCCGCATGCTTGATGTCTATAAGTCAAGACACGCTGGACCATAAATCTGAACAGACACATTAATAATTTTTGTATTAGCAAAATATTTAAGATTTTACATGCTCTTAAACTTCATAGCAATCAGATCGATAGGGGTTTTGGGGTTTTGGGGTTTTGGGG